GAGAGGCACGCAGTGGCGGGGGGAAAGGGGGGCGCCACAAGGCAGCCTTGCCTGGGGGGGGGCCTAGTTTCGCCTAGGGCGCCGAAAAACCTCGGACCGGCCCTGGCCTCAGCAGGGTGCAATGCCATAGAGCCCGCCCTTCAGAGCAGCAATTTTCTCCAGGGGAGCTGGAGATCAGTTGCAAAAGCAGGAGATCCCCAGGCCCCACCTGGAGGCTGGCAACCCCAATTTACAGTTTGACACCTGCGAGGCTTTTGTTTTATTTACTTCATTTATACCCAAGCTTTTGAAGTCAGCAGACCCCTTTGGGATTCTGAGAAGGGGTGGTGAGTGCCACCACAAAATCCGACACTCTGTCCACTAAAGGAGGGCAGTCTCTTATTCCCCACCCACCAAGCGTACTTAACAATCCAGCTGCCTCCCTCTATGTTCATATTGCACGGCACGGTAGGCGGGTGTAACAGCCACTCAGGATCACCATATTGACCAAGAACTCTTTGAAGTTGTTTGCCCCTAGACAGAAAGCACAGGCAATAATTAGGGAGACCATGCTCCAGGGGCTACCTGGGGATCCCCTGGAATTATAGGTCATCTCCAGAGTACAGAGACCAGTTCCCTTGGCATAAATGGATGCTTTGGAGGGTGGACTCTATGGCATTGTACCCCACTGAGGTCCCTGCCCTCCCCAGGCTCCATCTCCAAATCTCAGGAGTTCTCCAACCTGGATCGGGCAACCCTACCCCCATCCCCCGCCAGTGGCTAGGGAGGACCTGGCACCCCTAACTTTTTGTATTGCTATCATACTGCAAGTTGCAGAAATTTATACTATGGCACAGCCAGCAGAGTCCAGGAAATGTGAAATCCCAGTTTGGGGAGCCGGATTAGACCTTTGCTGTCCTGGCCAAAAGAAAATCTCTAAGAGAAATCCTTGCCATTCAAAGCTTGGTGGAGTTTAAAATCTTAAATTGATGTGGTTCGCTTTCAGGTAGGGTTGCCAAGTGACACTTACCTGTTCCGTGGGGGACTCCCGGGCGGCTCCCGGAGCGTGTGCGCGCACGCAGAGCACGCGAGCGCCGCATGCACGTCACCAGGAAGTGACGTTATGACGCCGGGCATGCTGGGGGCGGGGCCACGATCATACAAGGGAAAACCATAAAGTTTTCCCTTGTATGGCCGTGGCCCCGCCCCCAGCGTGCCCGGCGTGCTTGTGTCACTTCCTGGTGACGCGCACATCGGGGAGGAATTCCCCTCGGGGCCCAATCCGGCGGCACCGCGGAATGGGCCTCTGGGGCAGGGGTTTCCCCGCCCCCCGGGGGGACTTGGGATTCCTACTTTCAGGATATGAGGATGAAATCAGTGAGTAGGAAGTGGGCTATAAGAAGCCTTTGAGCAGTGCAAACTCAGTGGCCATACTGGGCAAGTGGATAATATATTTAAATATTTATCAAGAACATTCTGTAAAAACTGTCTCCACTGAGATCAGGAAATAAACCATCCCCACATAGAGAGAGTTGCATTTTGTAAAGTTTATTGCAACATCACGATTACAAAAAACCCCAAACAAACCCTAACTTGTAAGATTTCCAGTAGCAGAGATACCAACAGAAAAGGCAAAGAAATGAAATGAGAAGCATTCAGGCAACTGTAAAGGAGATAAGTTATGGCTCCCCCTAGAGTCAGCATGGTCAAAACACACCCTGTGTCAGTATTTACATTAATTAAACCTGCTCACAGGTTGTCCCCCTTGCCGACAGTTGTGTACTAACGGTGACCATACACGCAATCGCCTTTCCACATGGCCATGTGAACTAGCCTAGCTTCGCATCCCTAGATAATAGAAGGAGAGGATTCTAGAGCCAGCCTATCAGGCCGCCCGGATCCTCAAGGGAACCTATAGTTGCAGTAATTTTGTATATAATCCTATCACGGGTGTGGGTGTGGGTGTTGGCTGTGGTTTGTACTTGTATTTAAAGCGGCCTCTGGCCGGCTACTGTATCTCAAGTTTTCCTAATTCTTAAGTAAAGTATGAGCTGAAATCACTACGCTATGTCTCAGTACTTTATACCAACAGACAGTTCACCTACATCCATTACTAATAAGCTTAGGGTCATGTCCATATTGAACATTTAACAGAAATACCTTATTGCCTCAGGAATCCTGAGAACTGTAATTTGGTGAAGGAATATAGGGATCTCCAGGGCTTTTTTTGTAGAAAAAGTCCAGCAGAAACTCATTAGCATCTTAGGCCACACCCCAACAGTGCAGCTCATTAGCATATTAGGTCACACCCACATGCCTCCCCTTGGCTTGCCCGGGCGCCCCCATCACTTTGCCCTCTTTCTTTCCCTCCTTTCCTTTTCTTCCTTCCTCTTTTTTCCTTTCCTTCTCTCTCTTTCTTTCCCTCCTTTCATTCTTTCCTTTCTCTCCCTCTTTCCCTCCATTCCTTCTTTCTTTCCCTCCTTCCTTCCTTTTTTCCTTTTCTTTCTTTCCCTCTTCCATTTAATACTTATTACAGAACCAATTTCTCTTAGAAAAAGAGAGGGGAAGGATCCCTCCCTGCTCTTTGGTGATGCTATTTAAGCAGAATGGGAATGAGTAAGTGCTGTGTTTTTTGTAACACAAAGACTGTTTACAGATTTAGCATTTTTTAAGGTTAATTATGAAGTTTTTATCAAAGCATAGGGAGAAATGAGAGCATGCAAGGAGGAGCACATAGCTCTGATGTATGGCACTCACGGCCACCTTGTGGTTTGGCTAATGCATGTGAACTGGGCTTTCCTAATGATTCCTGGCACAGAGTTTACCTTTTTAATTACTACTGCACACTTTGACATTTACATCGAGCTATCCACTACAATCCCAAGATCTCTTTAGATCTTAGGCTCAACCAGTTCAGAACTCAGAAGCATATAATTAAAGTTCAGATTTTTTTGTTTTAATGTGCATTACCAACATCATACTTCATTTGCTATATTGTTACTCACTCGACCAGGTGGACCATACCAAGTATCTGTTGCCTGGGCCCAAAGCTTCATCTCAAGCTGCAGTCTACATGGAGATCCAGAGAAGTAGTGAAACACAGGATGTGCCAATGGGAAGCGTTTCTAGCACCATACATGTATGATACCAGCAAGAATGTATACTTGCAGGCTGCAGTTATAGGTTGTGGGGCTTCAATGGGAACAAAGGTTTCTTTTTCACAGGGCTGGAAGAAAAGGGTGGGGGATCCAGGAAAGCTAACTCCCTGATTGGCTGAAGGAGAGAAGGGGTTCCCATATCCAAGGAACACTTCAAAATAAGAAAAGGGGACACAAAGAAAATGATCCTTGCTTCAGTAATACCCTACTTGTGATAAGGATATTCAACTGGCTGTTGTTGGAAACTGAATGCTGGACTAGACTGTTCATTGCTCTGGTCCTACAAAGCTGTTTTATATTGTTGAAAGGCTCAGGAGTGGTCAGGATTTGCAATGGAATAATCAAAATGGTGTGAACCCTGATATTCACCTGTCCATAGTGGCACCCCTAAAGAAAACATGCCCCTAGTCACCACATGAGAAGGATACTGTGTTAGAGACCATGCGCATGCCACACACTCATGTTTTGTTTTAGTCAGTTGCTGGTTAATACCATTGAGTTGCTCCATCACTGGCTTAAGCATATCCGCTAACATTTTTATGACATCTGCTCCCTCTTCCGGTTTTGGGCTCTGACTGCCTGGTGGTTTCATTTTAAACTTTCTTTGCGAGGCCGCCATTTTAAACGATTGTTTACAATTCCAAACCGCTTCTCACGGGCTCGAAAAATTGTCACCTCAATGTCAGCGCTCAAGTAAGTCTCTCAAAACAAAGTCACTGCTTGTTTCCCCCTCTGCCCCTTTGTTACACTTATCTGTCCTTTTGCATAAGAGGCATCCCTCTTTGCGCTCCGCTTTTCCCATGGGGAGTATAGTTCGCTTTTAAAATGTTCAGTTTATTTTGAACTCATGTTTAGTGTTGGTCATTTCTCTGACCTCGCTCACAACATTCGATACTCCACTCAATCTCCAGCGCTTGTCCCGGTCGAATCAGCTTGTGCCCGAGGGCCACACAGCGACAGGACCGTCAGGGCGGAGGGAAGCCTCGATTCTCCGGCATCGAGCCGTCGAAGAAGCTACCCCTCAAAAGCCCTCTGGCCTGGAGCCTATTGCATAGGCTCCGTGGGGATGCCACTTGAGGTAGCACCCCTCCATACTGCTGGTGTGCTAATCGCTCCCCCGAGGTCTGAGGAGAGCGACCGCCATCGCCAATCCACAAACCGGAAGTCACTCATGTTTTAACTGGGAAAGAATCAGGGCTGTGATTTAGGGGCTGCCCAGGAACTTATGCCATGATCTCCCTCACCTCTCTACCCAGTTTAGAAACTGGCTAACACTGATTCTCAGGATCCAGCAATCCCTTCTGGAACGCCCTCCCCCCTATGTTCTATAACTCATGGCATGGGACAACCAGTTCTTTGCAGTGCAGGCTGCTTTTAAACCACTGTGTGCTAGAAATGGCATGTTCACTGAGCCAGTGAACAATTGAGCTAAGCTTGTTCAACACCAGCACCACTTCTGACTCCTGTTCCTGCACTACATAGGTCAGGCCTGCATAATGCATGATCCACAGAAACAGTCCATCACCCTTTCAGGTACTTGGCAACCATTTCCTGTGTTTGCAGTTTGAGGTTAGCAGCAAACACAGGAGGATTATCAAGCCCTCTGGAGAGTCATCATATGGCAACTCACAGAGTAGTTTATGCAGCCTTCTTGTAGGTTCTAATCCAACTGTAAGACTTAAAATATTCCTGATCTGTCAAGTGTGTTACCTGAACACCACTGCTGGCTCTCCGTGTCATTTCTGCTGCACGGACATTCAACCCCCTGCCCTTCGGACACTAACTCAACTCACAAATATCCCCCATTCCTCATGATTGTGATGGATATAAAATGACACAAGACTTCAAAGTTCAAGAGTGCAGACATTACAATATGATGATTTTATTTAACTTTGTTGTGAATGCTGCCGGAATAATAAACCAAAATCCTTATACTATCAAAGAGTCGTTCATTTCTGCTCAGCAGGCATACTAGAGATATGTGTCTGTATGAACTAACATGTGAAGATGTTGGCTTGGTTGGGATTCCAGCTGGCTCAAGACATTTGCATGTCAGAGGCACAAAATCCCAACTGAACCTTTTGCCACTGTATTCATTAGTCTACGACAGAAGTGCTTTCCCATGGAGGAAGCACTATTAAAACAGAGGATTTGTAAGATGTCTACTTTGCATTTCCTAATCCTGGCACGGAATAGGAAAACTGTCTTTTCTCAAATGCAGTTGAAGAGACAGCTGTCTCTCACCAATTTTGACTATTCCCGGGGCCTGAATTTCATTTCTGAGTATTTGTAGGAATAGTAGAACCCTCTGCCAGAATCCCAGTTCACACCATCAGCAAAAGAGGAGTGAGACCCAAGCCAGTACATCCCATTGAGGTTGCTGTTGTGGCAGTTTTTGTACCACCAAGCTCCTTTGTAAGTCACTGCACAATTTCGGTTGCTAGGATCCTGTTGTCTGTCTTTGGTGGAGAAAGGCATGCGGTTGTGGGAAGTGAGTGAATCACCTGCAAATGACAGATTAAATTCTAGGTTAGGGTAGACTGCAGACTGGTTCAAACATACATACATGTCCACTACATGATCAGTGCAGAATCTATGGGTTATTTGCATAGTTCAGCTCCCAAAGAACTTGCACATCACCTCTGGTTCAAGGCCTTCCAGTGAAACTAGTTCATGTATTTAAATCCCAGTCACACGTGCTTGAACTTCATCTGGTTTCTCTTAATTTGGTCTCTCTTAATGATGATGATATAATGTCTGGAGCAATCTGAAAATGCTGCCTGGAGGGACACATTGATCAAATACACCTATGTTTTTATTTTAAAAGAAAAACAATGAGGAATTTCAGACAGGCGATATATTCCGGTTCAGGAATGGTTCCCAAACAGTTTCTGGTCTGACCTTTCAGACAGAACCGTTTTAGAACCGGTTCCCTACCGGAATATATTTGTACTTTCACACACAAACGCTTCTGTCCCATTCAGGAAACGGGGCTGAACCGTTTTACCTGTAAACCACTTCAAAGTAATCTTCCGTTTCTTCTCCCGGATCCAAAACGCTTTTTCAAGCCGTTTTTCACCCGCGTGGGTGATCTCCGGCTATTTTTTTTAACATTCGCTTTAGAACGCTATAGCGCTATAACACAACAGCAAGACAGCATTATAGCAACCCCATTGGAATGCCTGGCGTGTTGTGTTATAGCACTATAGCGCTCTAAAGCGAACGTTTTTTTAAAAAGCCGGAGATCACCCGTGCAAGCGAAAAACGGCAAGAAAAAGCGGGAAAAAGCAGTGCAGTCTGAAGTGGCAAACTGCTTCAGATCCAGCTATTTACCGGGAGGGGAAAGCCATGTGTGAAATGGCAGTCCTATACCGGTTTACGCCATGACGGATCAAAAACGGCTTCAAACCGGCTTAAAAAGGGTAATATGAAATTCCTCAATATCACCCCTGGGATTCTGACATTTGGGTCATGCCGGTGTAAGAGGTCTTGATCAAGGCCCATTAGGGAAGTGTAAATAGAGGCTGATCAACTTGAGACAAAGGACATATTTCTTAGAATAAGGAAAGAGTAGTTAATAGATTTTCAAAAGCGTGACATTCTTTATGGACAGACCATTCCTTACTACAAATTCAGTTCAGATGCCACAAACAAATCCCTCAAGTATATAAAAAACTGAGTAGATATGTCTTTCTGGGAATACCTGCTCTTTGCTGTTTAAAACGATGTGAGTTGGTTTGAAATGTTGGCTGTTTGTACTTATCTGTTTTATAGTTACCACACTATGTTCCTAATTTCATCTTGTACTTGTTTTCTATGATTCTGGAGCAATTGTGATGTCCCCAATATGACACTATTACTTTCTTTACATTTGGCTTGGTTTTGTTGTGTTTGTTGAATATCTCTCTCTCTCTCTCTCTCTCTCTCTCTCTCTCTCTCTCTCTCTCTCTCTCTCTCTCTCTCTCTCTCTCTCTCCCCCCTCTCTCTCTCCCCCTCTCTCTCATGTGCACCTTCCTTCTTCCCCTATGCCAAGACTCAAAATGGAAGTTCAGTTAATTTCAATTAGCAGTAAGTAGGATTTTTAACCACTACTGAATCTTTGTTAAGAATCCCAGTTATTGTGATGGAAAGTAAGCCTAAAAAGTCCAGGCAGTCACATGCCAAGACTACAACTCATTGGAGTTAGCTGAAAACTTCAGTCTTCAACTATCACACTGTTCTACATTTAGGCAGGGAAAATGGGGGGGGGGGGACTTGTCTTGGCAGGAGTACTTGCGAAAAGGATGTAGGGTAACAGCAGCCAGAATTTTATTTGCAACCACATGGAGGACATTGAAAATCCCAACGCTTTATGAGTTAATAACGAAGATTATGGATTGTGCCAAAATGCACCAATTGACAAATATATTAACAGGAGAAATGGAAGAAGAATTTATGGGACCATGGAGGGCCTTTTATGACTGGTTAAGACACAAGTACTGAGAAACTAAGACTAAATGAAGAACAATAAGAATGATGGTTAGAAGCTTATATGAGAAGATTTGCATGCAGAATGTTAAATTCGACTTTTTTTAACAAATTTCTGTATCTTTTCCTTTCCCTTCTTTCCCCTTTCCCTCTTTCTCTGTATAAACTAATAAAATTCTTTATAAAAAACAAAAGGGATCTAGGGGTCTCAGTAGACCATACTCAGAAGATGAGTCAGCAGTGTCAGAAGTATGATGCAGTAGCGAAAAAGGAAAAGGCAATTTGGTGCTGTATCAACAGAAGTACAGTATCCAGGTCACGCAAAGTGATGGTATCGCTTTACTCTGATCTGGTTAGACCACACTTGGAATACTGTGTTAAGTTTTGGGCACCACAGTTTAAGAAGGATGTTGACAAGCTGGAGTGTGTCCAGAGGAGGGCAACAAAAATGGTGAGAGGTCTGGAGACCAAGTCCTATGAGGAAAGTTTGGAAGGAGCTGGGTATGTTTAGCATGGAGACGAGATGACTGAAAGGTTTCAAATATTGAAGGGCTGCCATATAGAGGATGGAGCCGTTGCCCCAGGTGGTCAGACCAGAACCAATGGATTGAAATTAATTCAAAAGAGTTTTTGACTGAGCGGTTCCTCCGTGGAACAAGCATCCTTGGAAGGTGGTGGGCTCGCCTTCTTTGGAGGTTTTGAAGCAGAGCCTAGTGGGCCATCTGACAGCAATGCTAATTCTGTGCGTTTGGGCAGATCGTGAGAAGGACAGCAGGAAGGGATGAGTCAGTGCTCGGCTCTCATGGCCCGTTCTTACATGCCCAAGGTGATGCTGATGGCCACTTCGGGGTCTGGAAGGGATTTGGCCCGTTCTTAGATTGGCTAGGAATCCTGGTGGTTTTTTGCCTTCCTCTGGGCATAGAGCAGGGGTCACTGGGGGAGTGGGGGTTAATCAGGGGTCGGATGGAGCCAGAGCTCTCCAGAGTCCCGCTCCAGGAGTGACCAGCCCAGGGGGCGGGGCAGTCACATGACCAAGCCCCGCCCCCTCCTCCCAGCAGGCCTCAGTCAGTGCCACGAGGTCACGGAAGAAGGAAGGTAAGGTGTCTGCCTACCTCCTCCTCTGCGTCCCCGGGCCCTGCTGAGGTCTGCCCCCCCCATACTGTGCTTCTGGCACCGCAGGGAACCGCGGCACCCCGGGAAGCACAGCTGCCCAGCCCAGCTTTCCGGGGGCCCGGCCACCCCTCCCTGCGCTTCCCAGGGCCGCTGGGAGAGGAGGCTCAAGAAGCATATTTGGCCCTCAGGAACTCAGGGGCAGCCGGTGGAGAGGAGGCGAGGAAGTTTTCGCGAGGGGGGGCGGCGCTGGGGATCACCATCGATGGGCAGGGCGCTCGCAACTCGCCGTTCACTCAACGAGCTGGTCTATGCCAACCACCTCGGCATCTTCCCTTCCTTGCACCCACGGTGGTAATAGAAAGGAGGCACTCCCTGGCTACTGGGATCATCGGCTGGCGAAACACGGCCGCGGGCGAGTGGCAGAGGGCCTGGTTTCTCCAGGGAGGACAGGGTCGCAGGCGATCATGTGGAAGCTGATGCTCGCCCGTTGAGAGCGGACGAGATGGACTGCGCGAGAGCTCTCTGCACAAGGCAGCATCTTCGCCCGCTGCGCTCACTGGGGTCATGGGGCGGGCGGGCTGTTCCGTTCCAAGGGTCCGGGCAAGCCCTCGGCGTCCACCGAGCCGTTGGCGGGGAGCAAGCTGGGCCCGCTGGCCAAGGCGGGAGCCGCGGCGGCAGCAGCTGCTGCTGGCGGAGTCAGTGGCGGCGGGGCGACGGGCAAGAAGTCGCCGCGGCTGCCCAAGTGCGTGCGCTTCTGGAACCACGGGTACTCCTCGCCGCTGAAGGGCCACAAGCGCTTCTGCATGTGGCGGGACTGCCAGTGCAAGAAGTGCAGCCTGATCGCCGAGAGGCAGCGCGTGATGACCGCCCAGGTGAGCCGCCCCTGCCTGCCTGTCGTCATCGGGCCTTTGCCCGCTGCCCAGTGGCTCGGCCTGCAAAGGACTGACGGGGCCAGGCCGTGCTTCGGGTGTCTGGAGGGCTGCTCCGTAGAACGGGGTTGGCGGCTCTGCACAGGCAGCAGCTCGACGGAGCAGCCCCCGGGACCCTCACCCTTCAACTCGGGGATCCGTTTCCCTCGCGACTGGAGAGAGAGAGGGCAGTTTTTCGCTCTCCTCCCAGAATATTCCCATGAATCGAATATAATCATTCGATTTGCTGAAGCCATGAGACCTTTGCCTCGGAGCATCCCCACCCGCAGCTTTAGACGGGGTAACTTGAAGTCCCACCTCCCCGAGAGCTCAGGTAACTAGACTTCAGCTCGTGTTGTAGGATGAAACTGACCTTTGGTGTGTTAATAGAATTGCCGAGTTGGAAGGGCTTCCCTGGTACTGGGATATCTCTAGTTAGCACCCTTCCAAATCGCCATCCAGCGAACATCTCTCCCAGCCAGGAGCTCATCACCCCCTGATGCACTTTGTTCTACAGTTGAACAGATCTTATTCTTAGCATTAGAAGAGCACTCTTCCTAATATTTAAATTTAAGCTGGTTTTCCTGTCATTGGAACTCCTTATTTGTATTCAGGAGCAACAGAGAACCAGCCTGTGCCCATCTTCTAACAGTTCTTCAGATATAGGAAGACTGCTGTCATATGCCCCGTTAATTACAGTTTATTGAAACTGAACATACAGTTTTGTTTCAGGTTCTTGTTCGTGCCACAGGAGATGACAAAATGGCTGCCACGGAAGGTGGGGCCAACCACAAAATGTCAGGGAGTGAGATTATACTTAACTCTGATGGCAAATCTTCAGCATTTCAGGCAAAAGCTGTTTAATGCAATGCCTTTTAAAATTAACGTATTAAATATATACATATTGAGCTGTCTAAGAAACTGTCATCTGGCAGTATCTGTCTTCTCTTTGTAGGCATCCAGCAGATTTAGGAGAAAAGAAAAGAAAAAATGCATCTTCTCATCATCCCCCTTATCCGAGTCCTTCTATCATGAACCCAGCCATTTTTAACCTGTTCTGTTACTTGTAAAAATGACAGTGCTGAAGGGCTGATGAGAGCTCCTTGCTCTTGTATACAGTAAAAAAGAAATTCTGGCCAGATTTTGATAAGAACATAAATGAATTTTTGGAAAGTGAACAAAAGATGTAGTGACATAATTATCAACTTCCTTCTGAATTATAAAAATACATTAAAACTGGAAAGATCTGATGATTTCAGTAAAAGATCCAGGTCAGGTGCATTAAGCATTTTAGCTTTACGGGCCAATCGTATTTCGTCAGATTCAAGTCCCACCATCTTTTAGAACGTCACTCTGCTATTTGCACAGGTGAAGTACTTCACAGAAAACTACTATCTGCACTATACCACAAACACCGAAACGTAAAATCAGGCCCTTCTGTTTTTGAAAACTATGTGCATCAAGGCCAAGCAACAGATTCTTAAACGCTAAATTTGTTCC